GCTCAGATCATGAACTCATGATTCCAATTTCTGGGTTCAAGCCCTGTGTAGGGCTCCCCACTGCTTGAGAGTCTCCCTCTGCCCATCCTCTGTTATCTCTCTTTCTCTCAAAAATAAACATTTAAAAATAAAAAAGTCCTGTCTGGGGTACCTGGGTGGCTAAGTCAGTTGACCATCAGACTCCTGATTTGGCTCAGGTCATGATCCCAGGGTCCTCTCATGGAGCCCTCTGCCAGGCTCTGTGCTGAGTGTAGAGCCTGTTTCAGATTCTCCCACTCTCTCTCTCTCTCTCTCTCTCTTTCTCTCTGCCCCTCCCTGGCTCATGAGCATGCATTCTCTCCCCCTCTCTCTCATTCTCTCTCTCTTAAAAAAAATGTGTCTGATCACTGCCTCTTCAACCTCACCATCTACTCCCTTCTCAGCCACTGTAGTTGCACACCTGTCGCTACTTCTCAGGAGCCCCTCTTGCTAAGATGGCTAGTTATCTCCTCAGGTCAAATTCAATGGTCTTTATTTCCAAGATCTTTCAGCTGCTTTTGATATTGTTGAATCTCCTACTGCCCTTAACTTCCTTGGTGGGAGAGGGAGGGAACCTGGCTTGCACTCTTCTCTGGCTACTTCTCAGTCTCATTTGCTGGCTTTCTGAGTAGTAGTTTACTACGATCCCCAGATTTGTTTTCTGGCTCTCTTCTCTCTTCCTTTGTACATACTCTCCCTGCGATCTCCTCCTCTCCGGTGGATTCAATCACCATCGATATGTGAATGACTAGTATAATCAAGCTCACCTCCTGTCTCAGAACCACAGGCCCAATGGGAATCACCATTTGCCTTTGCAGTGGTGATTTCTGTGCCAGAAACTCCTTAAGCTCAACTTGTCCAAAACCAGGCTCCTCTTTCTGCTCAAACTCATTCTCTCTCCAGGGTTTACCATTCTGTTGAATAATGTCACCCTCTATATAGCTCTGCTACTCTGAAGGACACTAGGGCCAGTGTAAACAAAGTATTTGATATTTTTTGAGAGTTTTTCTCTTCTTTACCACTATTCTGATCCAAGTAGTCCAGATTTATTCTTTTCATCCTTTTGTTCATGTAACTATGATATCAATCATGTTTCAAAAATGAGATGTCTTATTAACTACTTTGGAAGGTATATAAGCTTATACAGTTTAGAAAATATTACACAAAATAGTTTAAGAGATTTCATTTAGTCTTCAATCCTTGCTGAAGTGTCACTAGAAATCGAAAGAAGTCTCTTTTAGCTACCTAGATGGACCCCTATTTCAGATACCTTGACATTGCCCTAGAAAAATTGATTCCCAGGGAATTACATATTCACTAGTTTTTTACAGTAGACCTATGCCCAACTTCTGCTCTTTCTTATATGTTGGGAAATTCCTCATATGCTTGAGTAATAAATATCGCAATCAGGCAAACATGGAGCAAAGATGCCACAGTTTCCACGCTTTCTGAGACTGTTCAGCTACAAAATGGAGTAATGATACTTACCTCACATGGATGTTGGGGGGATTTAGTGAGATGTGTGCAAAATTCTGGGAGCTCAGAAATTTCAACAAACATTTTATTTAAAAATTTTTTTCACCTTCCTCTTTCCTTTCCTCCAATTTTGAGGCAATTTAAGCCTTCTGGTGCAGAATGAAATACACCTAGAAAAAAAATCCTATATGATTCCAGATCAGAACTGTTCCAATATACGTGTAGAAATTAAATTTGGTTTAAAAATATTTCAAGTGTTTCAAGTGTCCTAGACTGTATTTCTCAGGGGTACTCTATAATGGACCCAAATCCCTATGGTACTTCAAGAGTGGACCTGATTTTTTGAGGCCCTCAAAATTCTCACTGGTGAGATTAGATTAAATGGCCAGGAGCAGTGAAGACTGACTTACCCTTCAGAGGCAATTTTAATTCATAGATGAAATTCTCTTAAAGCCTCAAAACTAGGAAGGAAAAGAAAAAGGAAGTAGAGAATGAAGGAGGACTCTGAATATTATCAGCTCTCTCCTCTAAACATTCTTGGCTTACTTTGAGCTACCTTCTTCAAAATAACAGCAAACTGGAAAGACAATTTGTGCAAAGGAGCATGGGGAAGGGGTTGAGGGGGGTTGAAGGACAGCTCAACACACCTAGGAAGGAATAGCAATTGTTCTTCAAATCAGTCTAAGAGGTTGGTCATGAAGGTGGAATGGAGGAGAGCACATTCTCTCTAGAATCCCAGTGAAAAAGGAAGAACGAAATCAATGGCATGCTGGACTAAGTTATAACTGTGTGAAAAGCCCACGTTGTTAGTGCCAGTCTATGAACCACCAGCAACCTTCACAATGCTCTCAGCAAAGATCCCCTTCATAATTTCTTTCATGGAACCCTGACGGCGAGCTCCCACAGAACAGGCCATAGATATAACTGGGCCTACACTGCAAACATTATGAACATGTCGTTAGTTCAATCACTAGCAGCACTTACCTCTTGGTATTTCCCTTTTAACTGAAAGAACTCAGGCCTAACTTTTTCTAGGGCAGCCATCTTCACGCTGAGGTACACATACACTTTTGTGGGTACATGAAGACTTTCCAAGAGTACACAAAAAAGGATAATTTTAAGAGAACCAACTTCCTCAACTTCTATGAGTATTATCTATTTGGAAAAGAACTTGCTGTCAAGGTGATCTATTAATTTCCTGTCTCCTACTTAACTAAAGAAAAGCATACCAAATACTATTCAGCCACAGAAAGAAGGAAATCTTGTGGGGCACCTGGGTGGCTCAGTAGGTTAAGCATCCAACTTTGGCTCAGGTCAGATCTCACGGTTTGGGTGTTTCTGGGCTGACAGCTCAGAGCCTGGAGCCTGTTTCAGATTCTGTGTCTCCCTTTCTTTCTGCCCCTCTTCCACTCATGCTCTGTCTGAAAAATAAATAAACTATTAAAAAAAATTTTAAAGAAGGAGAATCTTGTGACTGGAGACAACATGGATGGACCTTGAGGGCATTATGCTAAGTGAAAGAAGTCAGACAGAAGAAGATAAATACCATATGATCTCACTTATATGTGGAATCTACAAACACAAAACAAAACTGAGCTCATATAAAGAGAGAACAGATTGGTAGCTGTCAGCGGCAGGGATGGGGCATAGGGAAGGTGGGCAAAATGGGCGAAGGGAGTCAAAAGGTACAAAGTTCTAGTTATAAAATAAATCAATCCTGGGATGTAATGTACAGCATGATGATTATAGTTAATAACACTGTATTTTATACTTGAAAGTTGCTACAAGTAAATCTTAAACGATCTTATCATAAGAAAAAAATATTGTTACCATGTGTGGTGTTAGATGTTAACTAGACTTATGGTGATCATTATACAACATATACAAATATCAAATCATTATGTTGTATACATGAAACTAGTATGATGTTATATGTCAATTATATCCCTATTTTAACATTTAAACAATATTGAGGCACCTGGGTGGCTCAGCTGGTTAAGCATCTGACTTCAGCTCAGGTCATGATCTTATAGTTCGTGTGTTTGAGCCCCTCATCGGGCTGTGTGCTGACAGCTCAGGGCTTGGAGCCTACTTCGCATTCTGTGTCTCTCTCTCTCTCTCTTTCTTCCCTCCCTCATTCACACTTTGCGTGTCTCTCTCTCTCTCTCTCTCAAAACATAAATAAATAAAAACATTAAAAATTTTAAAATAAATTTTAGACAATGTAGACAAGCAATCAAATAAATAGAACAGAAAGAATATAGACAAGAATAAAATAAATAGAATAGAAATGATAAGAAATATACAAGTAAGTAAGATCTCAACTACCCAGAAAAAAAAAAGGAAAAGAAATACACACCTTACACCTTTTGCCAGTCTTAACTGTGGTTCACTGCATGAACATCTGCAGAGCGAAGGAAGAATTAAGTCTCAGGATAGGTATAGAGGAAGCAAATAATGTTAATGACTTGAAATAAATACCTTTGCTAGTCAGGTGTCTTACTTGACACTGCACTGCTCTCACAGAATACCATAGACTGGACAGCTTATAAATAACAGAAATGTATTTATTACAGTTCTAGGGGCTGGAAGTCCAAGCCCAACACCCTGGCAGATTCGATGTCTGGTTCATAGATGGCCATCTTCTCACCAAGGCTTCACATGGCAGAAGGGGGAAGAGAGCCGTCTGCAGTCGTTTTTCTTTTATATATATATATATATATATATATATATAGTTTATTTATTTTTGAAACAGAGAGAGAGAGACAGAGCATGAGTGGGGGAGGGGCAGAGAGAGAGGGAGACCCAGAATCTGAAACAGGCTCCTGGGTCTGAGCTGTCAGCACAGAGCCCGACGCAGGGCTCAAACCCACGAACAGAACCATGAGATCTGACCTGAGCCGAAGTCTGACGCTTAGCCTTAAACGACTGAGCCACCCAGGCGCCCCTGCAGTTGCTTTTCTAAGGGCACTAATCCCATTCTTGAGGGCTCCTCTTTCATGACCTAATCACTTCCCAGAGGCCCCACCTCCTCATTCACATGGGGATAAGGTTTCAACATACGAATTTCAATTCTGTCTACAATGGCTGACTTCTTTGCTCCCCACAAGATGGAAGTAGGATGTAAACACAGCTGATTTGAGGCAAGCCATGAGATCTTTGGCAAAGGATTCAGGAGATGAAGAATGAAAGAATGGCAAATGGATCTAGAAAGGATGTTGCTATTTTAAAACTACTTCCATTTCTATCTACCTGTTTGTGTGATAACATTTCTTATGTGCACCCAAGTATAGGAACAGAAAACAAGAAACAAAATAAATGATCATTCTAGCAATAGGTAGCTGTAGTCATCCACAGATACAGGAGCTAATTGGAAAAAAGGCACATTCACCTCATTATGATATACGGTCAATAAAAATTAACGCTTAAAGCCATATAATCACATAGAATTTTTTAATTAAAATTTATATTTATTTTGTTGCCTCCGTAAGGCTGGTCATATAAATTCAAAGAGAAAAAAACCCACGTAAAACCCTCCAGCATTAAAAAAGAGCTTGTTCATGTATTTTTTAAGTGAATGATGATGGGTATCTGATTGCTGTGGTATTTGGATCCCATTGGATACATTTTAAAAAGTGATGTAATGGCTTTATTCTAAAATGTCAATTTTTGCAGTACACTGGGTATTATCCTTTGCCAACAACTTCAAGTTATAATGCAAAACTGTAGCTGCCTTTTTCACAAAGAGCTGAGGACACATCATAGTCTGGCATCCTTTTGGGGGTATGTATACAAGAGTTTGCAGATGAGAACCAGTAGAGAACAGCAGGCTCTGACCTTTTCATGAGGGAGCATCGCTTCCTAAACATAAAAAATAAAAGGTAGTAGTAGTTTCACTTTCTATATCTATTCACCAAGAAAAAGTAACAAGAAACTAGTAGTAACACTTATTAGTAACACTTGGAAGTTATTAAATAAACTTTTATATTCATCAAAATAGCATCGCATGCATCTCAAGACTTCCACCTGTACTGATCTGAAGCATATTATCTATTATAATCTAGAATGTTTGGGGTACCGAAGCATTCACAGCAACCGCATGCTAACACCCCACTCCCCTGGTCGGGGTCCTATGACCTTCCATGGTGGTCTTTTCCTGTGAGAAGGCTAGGAAAATACGGGACACCTGGAAAGGGGGTACAGAGCTCCAAATGCCTTTTAGAGCAATGCAGGTCGCTTAAATGAGTGATCCTGCCCCAGATGTGCAAGACTAAAGAGGCAGCTGCTACTCAGCTCACCCGATTGTTGACATGCTTGTGTTGCTGGAAGCTTCCCACTTTTCAGGAGAAACTGGGTTTTATGTGAAATCTCTGGATTTCCAATCCAAATAAAAAGCAAACAAACAGAACCTATTTAGGCCAACCGAAACACAAATGTGAGCTGAATTCAGTGGCTGGACATCCAGTGTGCAACCTCTGCTCCAGTGCTACTCAAAGTGTGTCCTGGATCCAAGAACTGTTTGTTATATTCCACAATGGGATGCACATAGCAACTGAGAATAACATTTAAAAACAGCCGGAGCAGTTTGGCAGAGACATTTTGCAAATATAATTTTCTAAACCTAATTAAAAAAAAATTAGGCTTCTATTTTCATATCTGTTTTTCTATTTTATTTCTTTAATTAAAAAATTTTTTTGTTTATTTATTTTAGGAGAGAGAGGAGAGAGAGAGAGAGAGAGAGAGAGAGAGAGAGAGAATCCCAAGCAGGCTCTGAGCTGTCAGCGTGGAGCTGGATGTGGGGCTTGAACTCACAAACTGCGAGATCATGATCTGAGCCTAAACCAAGGGTCTGAAGCTTAACCAACTGAACCACCCTAGTGCCTTGAAAATGATGCCTTTTCTAAACCAAAATTAGGACTTCATATCTGAACACCAATCTTCATACTGACTACCTGAAAAGACACAAGCCTGGGAATTAAAATGCACCCACTTCTTTTTTTTTTTTAAGTTTATTTATTTTGAGAGAGACAGAGACAGTGTCAATGGGGGAGGGGCAGAGAGAGAGGGAGAGAGAGAATCTCAAGCAGGCTTACTGATACTAGCGCAAAGCCCAACTCAGGGCTTGAACTCCGGAAACCATGAGATCACGACCTGAGCCGAAACCAAGAGAGGATATTTAACCGACCCAGGTGCCCCCAAAATGCACCCATTTCTAAGCAGCTGACAAATATTTAGCAGTAAAGTCCCTGAAGGTGACCCCTTTTCCCCCAGAGGAATGGGGGACTATCATGTAACTTCTGTAGGATTGCTCCTACGTTCCCTACAGGGCCAGCTCTGGGAAGAGGGGCCCCTTGCCGTCTGTCACAAGGAGTTCCTCCTCCCTCCAACACACAGGAGGACCAACCCAGGCAAGCCCTGACCTGGGTAGGCAGAGGACATGCTCTCTGGCGGTGCATGCACGTCTGCCTCTTCGAACATACTGATCTCATCCCCAGCCAAGACTCCTGCTTCTCCGTCTCCTCAATGTGGTTCTTTCTACTGAACACTCTCCTCTTCTTCCTCCTGACCATATAGGCTTCTGTACAAGACAAAGGTGTCAGCCACCTAGTTCTGGAGCTGTGGTACCTGGTAATCAACTTCCTATCCTGCAGCTTGTGCCCAAGCGACCCCATTGATCTTTGTTTGTCCCCGCTGCTTAAGCCAAAGCTCCAGGAAAGGGAGTTGGTTGCCAGGTATCAAAGCTCAACATCTGGAACGAAGTGGCTGACATTCTGGCATAGCAAGGACCCCCTAACAAGGTAGTCCCGTCTAGGAGGGGTTCAGGCAGAAGCCAGAAGGCCAGCAGGTGAGAACACAGATAACCAAAAAGACAACCTCACGGGTCCGCAGGCTCCTCTGTTTGGAGTTGAGGGAAAACCCCGAAGTAAGTAGTGCATGAGTTGGTGGTGAGCTCACCCTCACACCCCACTCCATCCTTCCTTTAGCAGCTTCAAGCTCCGCAGACAAACACCTACTGAACCGTCTTGGAGGGCTGCGCACAGGACCTCACCAGCTGCCAGCACCTCAGAAAAGGGGAATTTCCCGGGGCAAGGTTGGGGGGTGGGGAGGAATATAGCACAGGCCTGGGGAGGTGATTTTAGAAGTGCAACCTGGTGGGGGAGTTTTTTTCAGACCATCTGGAGGGAAGTGGTCACAATCTACTACAGATTCTTCTGAAATGACCAAGCACAGGCAGAAAAATTGTTACATTGTTAAGAAACAGGGCTCCTTTGCTTCCTCCCAGGGAAGCTAAAGACTTCTGTATCTACTCTTGATCACTTTCTGCCTGATGTACAGAGCATGAGATCAGGTCAATGAAGAACTGCTCTCCCCCTGTAACTCTGCAGGTAGCCAGTTTGGGGCTGGCTGACGTTTTCTGCAATTTAAGACACTAAGAAAATTTAAAGGAGATCTGCCCTGTGTGGGTAAAGAAAGAACTAGTGTTTGGGGCCAAACAGATAAGGTACTATGTTGTGTGAGTTATTGAGTTGTCGTACTTTTAACTGGTATGGGTATGTATTAACAGAATAAAAGTATCAATAATCTATACAATCTGTAGTTATTTAAGCTACTACAAGTATCATGATGGGGGGAGGAGGGAAGAGAACATCTAAAATGCATAAAATTATTTTTAAAAACTCGCTCTAGGAAAAGGAAATGCCCGAATAGTAAGATAAGGAGTCTTAATTAACAACAAATTCATCTATTTCCCTCCTTCAAATTGAGACACTCTTCTAAGGCAATTTGCTTGGAGAACAGTTTTGCACCATAAATCTGGGACATGTTTTCTATGTGTGTGTTTGCTCTGCATGAGGCTTAAGAAAAACTCAGCAACCAAACCACCCAGTCCAGCCCTGGAGGGAAAGAGAAGACCTAATCACCCGTGATGGCGATTACATAATAGAGAATTGCACACAAAAAAGCCCCAAGAGTCTCAAAAGAATCAGCCCTTGGCTTCCTGTCATACAAAATGCCTTTGCCTTTTTTCCTTTGTGAGGATCACTAAAAACGCTCCTTAAAGACCAAGTAGATGTCTTTGGTAGAAATAGAGGTCACTTAAGAATGATTTGTAAGTGCACCCCAAGCCAAAATGAAGCTTGTATCGATATCTAAAGTGCATTTGCATTTAGCGCAGCAAAAGCTCATAATCTGTTTCTAATCGGTGCCCTGAAGATGCTCCCCACTGAAGAGAGGCCTGGCTCCGGGCATCCACCCCTCCAGAGGCCAGCCTGCCCCGCGTCCGGGCCCTTTCTTGGGCAGCCAGAGTGCTCCTCTCTTAGATAATGCCAGGTACTCTGGAAAGTAGCCGTGTAATAATACACAAACCCCTGATGATGTCAGCGTGTTATTGACTTTCCAAGTCTGAATGACTGAGCAGAGGAGCGGGGGTGGGGCGCAATCCATCCGGCAGCGCGGGGACCGGCCAAGCGAAAATGGGCTCGCGGGCCCGGAGGGGGAGGGGCGGCTCGCAGGCGCCGCGGCAGCTCAGAGCTCAGGCTCCGCGGCGGCGGCGGCGGCGGCGGCGGCCTCGGCGGCAGGGTCGTTGCAGCCATGCCCAGGCTCGGTTCCGGGCCCCCGGCTCCCTCTCCTCCGCTGTTTACGTTTGGACCAGCACACCTCAAGCAGAAATAATTGGGGCCGCCCTCCCACCCCCGGAAGCCTTTACCACGTGGCAGAGCGGGTTACAAAGCGGGGAGCCGAGGGCAAAAAGGAGGGGGGGGGGGGCGGCTCCCAGGTCCCTCCTCCACTCTGCACCCGGGCCTTCCTCCCCTGCTGCGGTGCATTCGTACATCTAGGGGTCGCTTTCCGTGGTGTATTTCCGTCTGCAGAAGACCCCCTTGTAAATTGCACCTCAGCAGTGGTGACATGTTATGGAAAATGATTGGCTTCCTTTATGGCGCTGGCAGTGCAGGTGCAGAGTTGGAGGCTCCCATTCTTACCCCGCAAATTGACCACAGGGCAATCTGTCATCTCCAAGACTAGGTGTGAACCGGGCTGGGTTGCCCTTAAATGGAATTGCATTTAGAGGCCGGGATCTGGAAGGAAGCACTCCAAACTGGGGCGTGGCATTCCCCCCTGGGCCTGGACCCTGCTCCGCTCCGCACCTCCGCCAGTCCTCCCACCCGGCTTTGCTGGTCTCACCTTTGAGACTTGGTGCCCAGGCCCTGCCCTCTGGCAGAGCTCTGCCCCTCCCTCTTCTAGACCTGTTGAAACCCTCCCGGTAAGGAAAGGCCAGGCTCAGAATTTCTGCCCACCCTGGCTCTGGCTGGACAGACTGTTCCTCCTTGGGGTTCCTGCCCTCTCTCCCGACCGGCCTGTGTTTGTGGAGCACCCGAGTGGTTGAACCACACAGGGACTGTGGAATCGCATCTTTCTGAACCCTGCCCTGCCGCGTACTAGCTGTGTCAGTGTGGACAGAGTGCTTAGCCTCTGTGTACCCCTCGTCGGTAAAAAGTGGGTAGCAGGAATGCCCTCAATCACTGTCATGAAGATCAAATGAGGGGCACCTGGGTGGCTCCGTCGGTTTCGCGGCCTTCCACTCAGGTCATGATCTCCTGGTTCACCAGTCCCAGCCCACATTGGGCTCTGTGCCCACAGCTCAGAGCCTGGAGCCTGCTTCCTATTCTCTCTCTCTCTCTCTCTCTCTCTCTCTCTCTCTCACTCGCTCTCTCTCTCTCTCAGAAAAAAAAAATATTTAAAAAAGAAGAAGATCAAATGAAAGCCAGATTTCATAAGGGACTCCTTTTTTTCAAAGATTTCAGTCCTTTGCCTTCATTAATAGAGTTACATTCATCAAACCAGGGTCCCTGTGGTTGTTTCTG